CAGTGGACACCACAGAAATACAAAGCATCCTAAGAGACCACTACAAGCAACTCTATGCCAATATAATGGACATTCTGGAAGAAATGGACAAATTCTTAGAAAGGTATAACCTTTCAAGACTGAACCAGGAAGAAATAGAAAATATGAACAGACCAATCACAAGTAATGAAATTGAAACTGTGATTAAAAATCCTCCAACAAACAAAAGTCCAGTACCAGATGGCTTCACAGGTGAATTCTATCAAACATTTTGAGAAGGGCTAACACCCATCTTTCTCAAACTCTTCCAAAAAATTGCACAGTAAGGAACACTCCCAAACTCATTCTACGAGGCCACCATCACTCTGATACCAAAACCAGAAAAAGATACTACCAAAAAAGAAAATTACAGACCAATATCACTGATGAATATAGATGCAAAAATCCTCAACAAAATACTAGCAAACAGAATACAGCAACACATTAAAAGGATCATACATCATGATCAAGTGGGATTTATCCCAGGGATGCAAGGATTCTTCACTGTACGTACATCAGTCAATGTGATACACCATATTAACAAATGAAGAATAAAAACCATATGATCATCTCAATAGATGCAGAAAAAGCTTTTGACAAAATTCAACATCCATTTATGATAAAAACTCTCCAGAAAATGGGCACAGAGGGAACCTACCTCATCATAAAGGCATATATGACAAATCCACAACAAACATCATTCTCAATGGTGAAAAACTGAAAGCATTTCCTCTAAGATCAGGAACAAGACAATGAGGTCCACTTTCACCACTATTATTCAACATAGTTTTGGAAGTCCTAGCCACAGAAATCAGAGAAGAAAAAGAAATAAAGGGAATACAAATTGGAAAAGAAGAAGTATATATATTGGGTGGGATAGGGAGGGTGGAAGGGAGACACAAGAGGGAGGAGATAGGGGATATATGTATATGTATAGCTGATTCACTTTGTTATAAAGCAGAAACTAACACACAATTGTAAAGCAATTATACTCCAAAAAAGTTGTTAAAAATAAATAAATAAAAGGTAATCAAAAAAAAAAGTATGTAACACTATGTGCAAATGACATGATACTATACATAGATAATCCTAAAGATGTCACCAGAAAACTACTAGAGCTAATCAATAAATTTGGTAAAGTTGCAGGTTACAAAATTAATGCACAGTTAATCTCTTGCATTCCTATACACTAACAACCAAAGATCAGAAAGAGAAATTAAGGAGACAATCCTATTCACCATTGCAACAAAAAGAATAAAATACTAGGAATAAACCTACCTAAGGAGGTAAAGACCTGCACTCAGAAAACTATAAAACACTGATGAAAGAAATCAAAGATGACACAAACAGATGGAGAGATATACCATGTTCTTGGATTGGAAGAATCAATATTGTGAAAATGACTATACTACCCAAAACAATCTACAGATTCAATGCAATCCCTATCAAATTACCAATGGCATTTTTTACAGAACTAGAACAAAAAAATCTTAAAATTTGTATGGAGACATAAAAGACCCCAAATAGCCAAAGCAGTCTTGAGGGAAAAAAATGAAGCTGGAGGAGTCAGACTCCTTGACTTCAGACTATACTAGAAAGCTACAGTAATCAAGACAATATGGTACTCACACAAAAACAGAAATATAGATCAATGGAACAGAATAGAAAGCCCAGAGATAAAGCCACCGCACCTATGGTCAGCTAGTCTATGACAAAGGAGGCAAGAATATACAATGGAGAAAAGACAGCCTCTTCAATAAGTGGTGCTGGGAAAACTGGACAGCTAAATGTAAAAGAATGAAATTAGAATAGTCCCTAACACCATACACAAAAATAAACTCAAAATGGATTAAAGGCCTAAATGTAAGACCAGACACTATAAAACTCTTAGAGGAAACATAGGGAGAAGACTCTTTGACATAAAGCACAGCAAGGTCTTTTTTGACCCACCTCCTAGAGTAATGGAAATAAAAATAAAAATAAACAAACAGGACCTAGTGAACCTTAAAAGCTTTTGCACAGCAAAGGAAACTATAAACAAGACGAAAAGACAACCCTCAAAATGGGAGAAAATATTTGCAAATGAATCAACAGACAAAGGATTAATCTCCAAAATATATAAACTGCTCATGCAGCTCAATACTAAAAAAACAAACAACCCAATCAAAAAATGGGCAGAAGACCTAAATAGACATTTCTCCAAAGAAGACATACAGATGGCCAAGAGGCGCATGAAAGCTGCTCAACATCACTAATTATTAGAGAAATGCAAATCAAAAGTACAATGAGGTATCACCTCACACCATTCAGAATGGGCATCATCTGAAAATCTACAAACAAAAAATGCTGGAGAGGGTGTGGAGAAAAGGGAACCCTCTTGCACTGTTGGTAAGAATGTAAATTGATACAGCCACTATGGAGAACAGTATGAAGGTTCCTTAAAAAACTGAAAATAGAATTACCATATGACCCAGCAATCCCACTACTGGGCATATACCCAGAGAAAGCCATAATTCAAAAAGACACATGCACACCAGTGTTCACTGCAGCACTATTTACAATAATCAGGTCATGGAAGCAACCTAAATGCCCATTGACAGACGAATGGATAAAGAAGATTTTGTACATATATACAATGGAATAGTACTCAGCCATAAAAAGGAAAGAAATTGGGTCATTTGTAGAGACGTGGATGGACCTAGAGACTGTCATACAGAGTGATGTAAGTCAGAAAGAGAAAAACAAATATCATATATTAATACATATATGTGGAATCTAGAAAAATGGTACAGATGAACAAGTTTGCAAGGCAGAAATAGAGACACAGATGTAGAGAACAAACATATGGACAGCAAGGTGGGAAGATGGGGTGGGGGTAGGTTGGTGGTGGTGATGGTGGGATGAATTGAGAGATTGGGATTGACATATATACACTAATATGTATAAAATCAATAACAAGTAAGAAGCTGCTGTATAAAAAATAATAAAATTAAAAAAAGAAAGTCAGGATATCAATTTTAATATGATAAAATAAAATTAAGGCATAAATTAATTTTTCAAATTAATTTATTTTATGGCTGCGTTGGGTCTTCATTGCTGCACGCAGGCTTTCTCTAGTTGCAGAGAATGGGGGCTACTTTTCGTTTTGGTAAGCAGGCTTCTCATCACAGTGGCTTCTCTTGTTGCAGAGCATGAGCTCTAGGCACGCGAGCTTCCATAGTTGTGGCTTGCGGGCTATAGAGCGCAGGCTCAGTAGTTGTGGAGCACAGGTTTAGTTGTTCTGTGGGATGTGAGATCTTCCCGGATCAGAGCTTGAACCCGTGTCCCCTGCATTGGCAGGCGGATTCTTAACCACTGCACCACCAGGGAAGTCCCTAAAGGCATAAATTTATGAGACAAAGAGAAACCCTTCATAAAAGAAAGATATTAAGATGATGAAATAATTATAAAAAGATACACACCTAAAAATATAACCTCAAAATAGTTAAAACAAGAATGGCAGAACTATGAAGACAAATCTGTACAACTACTGTAATTAGAAAGCTAAACTCTATTATATATTGGGTTAAAGCGAGAGACTTATTTCTCTTTGATAGGTCAAATAAATGAAAAATAAGAAAATATATAAAAGTTTGGTTTATATGACCTATAATCTTGAATACATTGGCGGCAGTGGTGAAGAAAGTGAGCTTTAAAATGGGTAGAAAAAACCATTTCTTCCAAACAAATGTAATGTTCACATATACTAGGTCATCAAGGAAGCCTCATCAAGTCAAACTATGCTATCTAACTTTAATGCTGTATAGTTTGGAATCTGTACTAAAGTGAAAACTGAAGTACTGTACATGTTTGAAAAGAATTACAAACTACTAAATTCTCTTTGGATTGAAGAGGACATTTTTACAGGGATTAAAAATACTTTGATCTGAACAGCAATAATATCATGTTAAAAATTGTGGGGTACAGCTAAAGTAGTACTATGAGATAAATTCATAGCTTTAAGTATATTTATTAGAAAACAATAAATATTGAAAATAAGCCACATAAGCTCAAAAATGAGAATAAAAGTCAATGAAATAGAGAATAGCAATCTTAAAACAATAACAAAAAAAATTAAAGCTAAAAGCTGACTTTGAAAGGACCATTTAAGATGCATAAAATTGATTAGTAAAAAGAGTAAGATGCAAATAAGATACAGAGTGAAGGAGATATGATGACTGTCACAACATATTCTTAAAAATAATAAAATAGTATTATTAACTATATGCTAATACTTTAGAAAACTTAGACAAAATGGATAAATTCTTGGAAAAATAAAGAATACCAAATTTGGCAAAATAATTGAATAAACCAATATGCATTAAAGAGAGTAATAAGCAAGTTCTTTTGTTGAACAAACCAGTCGTAATAAAAATTATATGTTTAATTCCCTCTCATCAGACTATGTTTTGAAAAACATATATTTGTAAATAGATTTCCCCATTAAAGTCTTTATTGTTGTTCTTCTTCCTATGGGACCAACTATAGCTCACATGAGAGCTCTGGGGGAGAAATTCTTAATAAAATAAATTTGGGGTTCAAATACAAATTTTAACATGTGTGAGATATAATGCATGTGTCTGACACTTAATAAAACTCTCTAAATTTTGTAAAAAAAAAAAAAAAAAAGATATTTAAATAGTAATAAAAGACACCCTCTCCTTCTTCACCAGAACTTCAAACTCAGTTTTACAAGAGAGTATTAATGAGCTTTCAAGCAACAGATAATCCTTACCTTACAAAGCTGCTACAAAAAAATAGAAAAAAGAGAAAGACTCCTTAATTCACTTTATATTGATCTGGTTAGTATAACCATGATTTAGCAAATTATAGTTCTGTTTGGTTTACGAGTTTTAATGCAAAAATCTTAAATGAAATACTAACTTACTGAATCCAACAGTCTATTAAAAATAATGTAACATGATCAAGTTAAGCAATGCAAGGATGGTATAATATTAGAAATTTAATTAATGTAATTTATCTCTATAATGGAATGAAGATTAAAGTAATGTGACTATCTCAGTAGATACAGAAACAAATCATTTAATAAATTTCAAAACATTTCTGATAAAAACTAAAATAGCCTTCTTAAAGGCTGAAACAAACATTGTGCTTAAATGGGGAAATTTCTAAGCATTTCATATAATATGGGAACAACATAAGAATGCCCACCTTCATGGCTAGTATTTAATGTATACCGGAGGTCCTAGCCAACCAAGTAAACATAGAAAATAAATAAAATGTATAACTGATGAAAGGAAGGAGAACAAAATTCTATCATTTATAGCTGACAAAATCATTTACATGGAATTTACAATCTAATTTACAATAGAATCAACAGATAAACCGGTAGATCTAATCAGAGCATAAACAGTTTGCTACTGCTGTAGTCTACAGGGAACTCTACTCAATGCTCTGTGGTGACCTAAATAGGAAGGAAATCCAAAAAAAGAGGGGATATATGTATACATATAGCTGATTCGCTTTGCTGTACAGCTGAAACTAACACACTGTAAAGCAACTATACCCCAATATATAAAAAAAAAAAGGGAAACCTCAAATCAAAAGAAAAAAAGAAATGTAATAAAACATATGACTTAAATTTATAACAACTAAAAATAGTTAGCAATTAAACTAACAGAATATACAAGACTTCTGTAATGAAAGTTTATGATTGCATTAAAGACCAGAAAAGATAGCCTGACAAAATAGATGTAGCATGTTTATGCATGGGAAAACATCACAAGAATATCAGTTCTCCCCTAATTACTCTACAAATTCATTGCAACTTTACACAAAATTCCAGGAAGATGTTCTGAGAAACTTATTTATTCTAAAATGTATGTAGAGGAATCAAGGTCCACAGACAGCTAAATTGGTTTTAAAAAATAAGAGAGAGTGCCTATCCTACCAGACAATTAAAAGCCAGGGTATTAGAACAGTTGTGCCATAAGTCAGAGGGGGGAAAATGAATTATTAAGCGGGTTGAAATCAGAAAACCACTTAAATATATGTGGAAAAATACAAAGCTGGATTCTTACCTCTCACCATGAACAAAGGTTACCCCAGATTAATCATTTATTCAATCAATATTTATTGAGCATCTACTATGGGTGAAGGACTTTTCTAGACACTGGATACATGCCAGTGAAAAAGGCAAAAGTCCTTGCCATCTTTAAAACCCTAACTGTGGAGTGTAAAAGTATAAAGTCAGTAGAAGAAAATGTAGGATAATTTTTTTTTCCACGATCTTGGAGTGGGGAAGGGCTTGTAAAACAAGGATCAAAAAGCACAAATCATAAGGCAAAAAAAGCACTTAATGGGCTTGATTACATCATAATTAACTCTGAGTACGCTTTATGACCCACCCATATAATCCAGAGGAAGTCTTTTACACTTCCATAAAGAGACTTGCTCAAGGTTGCTCATCACAGTTTTGTTCCTGGTAGCAGGGAGTTGGAACCAACTTAGATATCTCTATCTCTAGAGGGAAGCAAAATGTGGTGGATGCACGCTGTGGAATACCATGCATCAGTTAGAGGCACTGGGTTGGATGTACACTCAACAATATGGAATAGAACTAAACATACTATTGAGTGAAGAAAAGTAATAACAGAATTGGAGCAACAGCACCATATCATGCAGGTAAATACAAAAGATATATAGAGTCACAACCAATTCTGTATATTCTACAAGGGTGCATACATACCAAGGGCATGTATCAAATAGTACAGAGCTGGTTCCATTGAAATGGGAATTAGGGATGAAGGGAAGAAAAATGAAATAAAACAAGAGTCTTGTATGGTTTGATGGTGGTAATGAGTTATGAACAAAGGAATGTGATTACTCTCCATACCTAAGTCACTTGGACCACAGCAGAGGGAGGACTGTTTGAATGTAGGATAGCCCCAGTGGGTTCAGAGTTCTTTCTTATATTTGGCTAAAACTGCCCTCCTATAAACACCCAGCCATTGGTCTGAGTTCCGCTGTCTGGCATTGTACCCAGTGAGTCTTCAGGCTCTTTCACAGAACAGCACTTCAAACACTTGAAACGACTGCTTTAGTTTAAGTTTTCCCTCATCCAGTCCCACATACTCAGAACTTTCAGCTGTTCTTCATATGACCTGTTCAGGGTCTTCTAAATTTCAGGGAACTATAGCATGACATCCACATCAGCTATTAAATGTGGCTTGCTCGTTTGAAAAATATGCTGAAAACCCACTGGGACCAAGCATCATGTAAGGTGCTACGCATAGATGCTCAGAAAAAAGGAGATCACTTCCATGAGAGTTATAACTGAAAGGTCTTGAATTAATAGTCACGTTCTACTGGATTTTGAAATGTAGAAAGTTCAAACAAATCTCTGCTATCCAGAATAAGCGGCCACATTTTATGTATATTGATTTATTCAGTCATTTATTTAAGAAATATTCACTGAATGTATTTTCTGTGCCAAGGCTTGCTGCAGGCTCTGACAACTGGAACATGCTTCTTTGTACCATGGAGAAAGGATCAAAGACCCGGGACCCTGGAGAGCAGGTTTGCTGTGGTGTCCTTTACCGAACGAACCAGAAGGATTTGGCCCCCTCAGCTCTCTTAATATGGCTACAGCGCACTTCTTCTCCACTATGGTTTGCTGTGACCCAAAAGTCAGAACGGCTCGTGCTTTGGGGTTCCAGCCACAATGTCTGCTCATGTTTCCTAGAGATCTAAGTTCCTCTCTTTAATAACTTTAAAAGGTAAGTCTAGTGGGGTGAAATGAATCACTACGGTTTGAAGATGGGTGATAGAATGGGCAGAGAATTTGGTACATTCCACACTAATCAGGTCTTAACTCTGCTGGGGCATTGTGTACCCTTCTGCTTAGCCACTTGTTTTATAGATGAAGAAACAGAGAAAGAGAAAGAAAGAGGAAGAGGTTGGTCTGCAGTCACAGAGCCAGGACTGGAACTCAGGCTCCTAACTAGCAGCCAACGCTCTCTCTTCTCTCCCCTCTGGTCACGTGGTTGAAAGGGGGATGTCAACTGTGATGTAGTGGTGGCACCTTTAACAAGTCAAGGAGAATAGGTTCAGGCTGTCCTATTGCAAGAAAGAAGAGTGAGAGGGAAAAAGGGGTTTCGAAGCTGCTCAAGGTGTATGCATGGGAGGCGGGGCAGGGGGAGTGATTTCTCTGAGACTGGTGGACAGTCACTCACACCAAGAGAGTCTAAATTTTCCCCTAGAGTTTGGCCTTACAGACCTACACCTGCAGGAGAAGCAGGGTCACTGGTGAGAGCTATCACCCCATCTCTTCTATAAGTGCTTTGTCCAGTCTCCTTATCTTCAAGGCAAGACATCCACATAATCGCTGTTACTGTTCTCTGGGGGAAAAAAAGCAGAAGACCAGCCATTAGGCTCAACACCCAGGAGTCACACTGACCAACACCAGTCAGGGGAGAGACTTCTCCCCAGGCAGAGGGTGATCTTGATGCCACACCAAAGTGACACCTTCAAGGGCTGGGGTACCACAGGGAGCTCTCCTGGCAAAATAGGGGGTCTGTTTATAAGTGGAACATCAGAGTTTCCAGGACCAGACGCCTCCACTCACCAGCAGAACACCTGTGCCTTCCTCAGCCTGAGAACACCTAAGGCTTGTTCTAAGGAGGCCAAGGGAAAGGGAGGGAGAAGATGAGCTAATGGGAGGAAGTTCCCACTTCGGTAGCTGAGGATTTGGGAGCTTGCTCTGCCAAGGCTGGCCAAGCGTGGACAACTGGTATGGCGAGACTCTCGCCCAGTTCTTGGGGACGAACTCTAAAGGGTTCTCCTGTTGGAATTTGTGGTTATTTTATCATCACTGAGACAAATACTACCACCACCCCAAGCATCCTGAGCAACTCATCTGGGTTTGCCTGAGGACTGCAGCACAGGTGCATCCCTGGGCTTCTACTCTGCCTCCTTTTATTCTTCTACATGCTGTGGAGGGTTCAGGGAAGACCCAACCATGCTTTAAAACCTAGTTGGGAACAGGAACCACACCTTCAAAATCTATAAGTTATGGTAGAAAATGGCCGCGGGACTACATCTGCAGCTGAACCTATAGGAAGCGGGTGCATGGGTCGCTTCTCCTCTGGGTGCACACTCCTCTATGTGGGGGAAGGGGGACAGAGAAAATGGTAGAGGAGGGTTTTGGGGTTTTTTTTCCCATAATTAAAAAGCCACGCTTAGTCTTGTTGGGGAGGTGAGAAGTTTGCTCTGGCAGTCTAAAGGGAAACTTTGCTATAGACAGAGTACTATGGGTGTGGGGTGATTGCAGGCTCCCCAGAACTCTCTGTCCTCCACCCTTCTCCCTAGCTAGCACTTCTGGTCCCATCCCCATCACCTACCCAGTGATGACTGAAATCCCTTTCATGGGGCTATCACCACATATCCCACCTTGAGAAGACAGGGTTAAACTGTAAATGTCTCAGGAAGTCTGAGTTAAATTCGAACTATGTTGTAACTGACAGATGCTAGACTCTCTTCTGAGAGCAGACTTGCAGGGATGTAAGCAAGAGTAGCTGCTTGGGATATGATCTGGATTCTCCTCACTCAGATTTACAGACCATCTCTCCTTTTCCACCATGGCTTAATAACTTTTGGGGTGTATCTGAAATAATTATTCCCCTAACACTATATAAATGAATGCTTAGCAAATATTGAGCAAAATGTAACAGGATGAGGCTTGGGGAGAGGGTTGAAGCAATTTTCTCATTTGAAAATTCTGCTTGTTGGCCATCTATTCCCAAACCTGTGTTGTTTGCACAAGGTCACAGAATGAATCTGAAGTCAGCTCTTGGAGAATGTTCAGGAGCCACTCTTCCTCCCCGGGCTGTCCAAGCACAGAGAGCTCTATGTGTTTGCCACCTCCAGGAACTCGAAGGCACCACTTCCCAACAAAATGGAAAGTGCTCTTCATAGGATGAAGCTTTTTAGAGCTAACATCATAGAAAGGGGCAATTATCTGTATCGGTTCTGCAAAGTAGCCCAGTGGTGGAAATGGGACTAAGGTTCCTGTCTGGCACCCGTGTGAAAGTTTTTTACCATAAATACCATCCAGCTCTATCTTCGATCTTCTCCATCTCAGGGAGGGACAGGTTCTCTTTATTGGCCTTAAAAGGTGAACCACCAGCCCTTGATTTGGTTTTTCAAACTTGGAGATCAGTTCCTCTAGGTTTGGAAAGATCTGTCTTTGAGCGCCTTCCACGGTCTGCAAAAATGCAAGATCACTCATCATCGTGCAATTGTGTGTGAAAGATGACACTTCTCAAAACAGTGGTTTTCAGGGCTGCCTCTGAGCGGTGAATTGAAAACAGGTGGCCGACACTTCTTGTGTGGGAGCTCACACCATACGCAATAACCAGAAACCCTCCTTTTTAAAATGCAATTCTGACTTGAGCTACTCTGAGTAAAGAAGATTAACAATCAAAGGTCCCCACCTCAGTCTGCAGTATCGAATGAGCCCCCATTCTTGGCAATTTGGGGACAGTTCTTGTAGGTACACTGTGGAGGGTACCCCTCTAAGAGCTTATGTCAGAGTGCGGGGGACTAATACGGGAGGACTTCTGATGGGAAATGCAAAATATGCAACTTACATACTTGATGAATTCAGACTCTCCATGAGAGGAAAACAAGACAAAAAAGTCCCGATTTAAATTGAAAATGGGAATGTCAACATGACTCAGGTAAATTGTGAATAGTTGTTTTCTCTTTACCACCTACAAACCAAGTACAATTTTCTAATATAATCTTATAGAAATAAGTTTAAAACACAAGAGCTTCCTTGGCTCTTATGTATTTGATTTTCTTAATGATCACTGTAGTTCTCTTAGGACCACACTGTTGGTCTACAGAGGGGTGGTGACAGGAAGGCTCTGTGACCTGGGGTGTAGTTAACCTCCATGACAGAGATGCAGGCTGACATGGAAGACGGCTCTACGAAAGGCTGTCACTTCAGCCCAAGGTAGCATCCAGCACAGGCCCTGATACAGAGCTGCTGTATGAAATGCCCCTCTGTTTCAATGAAATGCCCCTCTGTGTCTGTTATAACTGACTTGGATGCCTCTCTGTTTTGTTCAGACAAGAGACAAAATGGGGTATTAAGGAATTATCCAGAATTTCCCAAAATATGCACAACAAAGAAATAAATGTTTTAAAATATGTTGCTTTAAAAGCTGCAAAAATATTTTTTAAATTTCCATATATAACCTTCACCCATACCCCAAATGTTAAAATTTTATTTGCCTTTCATTCTCTCTCTTTCTAAATATATATGTGTGTGTATATATGTATACATATATGAATTCTTTTTTAAAAAAAATTATGAGAGTAAGTTGCTGACATGATATCCCTTTGACCCTAAATACTTCATATTTCCTAAAAAGCAAGAACATTACATATCCACACTAAAATGAGGAAGTTAATCGTTTTTTTTTTTCAGGTACATTTCTAACTAAATGAACAGACCTGACCAAAGACAGTTTAGAATATCAATGGCCATTATAGGGAACTTTTTTTTTTTAACATCTTTATTGGAGTATAATTGCTTTACAGTGGTGTGCTAGTTTCTGCTTTATAACAAAGTGAATCAACTATACATATACATATATCCCCATATCTCCTCCCTTTTGTGTCTCCCTCCAACCCTCCCTATGGGGAAATTAATCTTGATGCAATACTGTTACTAATCTACAGACCTGATGCAGATTTTGTCAATTGCCTCAATAATGTCCTTTGTGGCAAAAGAAAAATTACATATATGTGTATGTGTGTGTGTGTGTCTGGGGATCATTGTATATTCTAATCTCTTTCAGACAGTCACAATGAACTTTAGCATATTGAAGATTCTGAGAAATCCTGCAGTAAAAAAATCTGCTTAACATTTATACAAGTGTTTCAGAAAGATTAGTTCAGGAGTCTATGTTAGTAATTAAAGATTCAATTACATTTATTATACTCTATTTCCTACCAGAGAAGTAACTTCAAAAAAAAAAAAAAAGGTTTTTCTGCTTAGCTCTCAATAAACCAGAAACATTAAAGAAATCCCTAAATTGCCAGTTGACTGATGCTCCCCTTTGCATTTTCATACAGCTATGGTGTCCCCGAATGTTGCCTTCTTAAACATTCGGACCTCTCCCCACCTTCCCTTTCCACTCATCCTGTTCGTTGTTTAGTCTTATAATTTGACAGTAGTCTTATATGGAGTTCAGGTTGGTATATTTGACCCCTGGAGGAACTTTGTGCCTCTACACTTTTGAACAACAGCCTTGTTTTTCTTGAAAATGGAACCCAACTCTAGTGCATTCCTATTTCTCTGAAAGAAAGACAAGGTTAACTACTGATCTGATTCTAAGTCTCCGCAGTGCTTCCCTGTTTAGATGCCTCTTCGTGGCATCTCAGGTTCAAGAGATGTCCTCAGGTTTTTCTCCCCCCAGCTTGTGTTGTTTTTGTTATAGGAGTTCTTGTATGTTCTTACCTGTATATTGTAATACCCATGTTTCTCTCTGAAGATTCGGTACGTGTAGACCAACTTTTTGAACCTGTGGAAAGATGACTGTGTGAATCACAATGTTCTTATATGCAAATCCAGGTAACATCTACCACTGTATTTTGTGTGCAATGCCTTAGTCAATCATGGATCACAAAAAGAAACTGATCATTTTCAGGCCTTCTCATCGGTGAGAATTTGAAAGAGAGGTTTTAAAATGGAGACCTTTATTCTATGGTGGAAGTCTGGGCTGTAGCAAAGAGAATAAGGAGAGAAATTTTACAGTTTCCATTGTCTTGGTATTTCTCTCTAGTTTTTTCACTTAGCCCTAAGTTGATACAACATACAAAACACCATCAAGCCATTCCTGTGTTGCTTATTAAGTGACAGGTCATTGACCTCATTAGAGATAGTTAATGTAACTAAAATAGAGAAGGTTGGGAATTTTGTGCAAGGAAGAGATGTATTGTGCTCTTTTTCCTCACTGGAACAGGAGCCACTGGGTAAGTAATCTAACTAGAATTTAGATAACAGACTCAATTGAGCAATTTCCAAAACAGGAAACAGCGTACATTACCATATTTCCTCAATTCCAAGATGTCATCAATAGTAGGATACAGTCAATTTAGTAGTAGCTTTTGAGGAGAAAAATGCATACATTAAACGTCTCTATCAACTGTTAACTATGTTCTGATTCCAAAGCAATATTAAAATGTAAAAAATGAGGATAAAAAACATTGACATGAAGTTCAAATTATCTGACTGATCACTCCTCACCCCTTCACTTGCACCCATGCCAAAGAATCAGATGACCCATCTTTTGACTGAATTGGGAAGGCAGATAGCTATAGCTTTAAGGTACAGGAGACGTCATTGCTGATTGTCTGTCGGCTTTGACAATTGACTTCAAATCCCAATCCTTTTTGTGGGGTTTCCTGAGGCCAGAAGAAGCTAGTGGGTGTCTTTAAATCACATGACAAGCAACAAAAAGTTTTTACATGAATCCTTGTCTATATGTGACAAATTAAAGTATTCCACAGTCTGGGAAGAGGTCTCACAAGTGTCTTTTCACAGAAGTATTATTCAAATCGGGATCCAAACGAGGTCCATTCATTGCTTTCCGTTGCTCACATGGTTTCTTGAAACTCAACTATCATATAGCCTAACTTAAATTCTTAAATAAATGACTTTATTTTTAATTACATTGTTGTATTATCAGCCTAAGAAAATATTTACTAGAGGAGTTTGAAAGAATAAAACAAATGGAGGTTCTATATTAATTAATCCAAAAGCCATATACTTCAAGTTAGAAAGACGGACATTGCTCAAATATAGTCTTATTCTTTGCAAAGTATTTTTAATGAAATAAGCCACATTGCAGTGATGCTTTACAAGAAATTGATTTACTGAACTTGTGATACCTATATGCATTTATTTTGCAATGTTTACCCCAAAAAGTGCTGTAAGAGATTACAGAGCAGTGAGATTAGTATCTACTTTATACAATTGCAATATTATTGGGTCGACATAAAGACTTACTGTAATGCCTCCTATTCTAATTATTATTTTATAGATGCCACTTATAAAACTTTTAAAAGATACGTGATTTTTCAGTGTGCATTTACACTCAAGGCAGTTATAAAGACCCTGTTTCCCCTGGGCCTTCGGCTCCTGTCACCACAGTGACGAGGGAGCCCCTCTTTATCCCCCAACACTCACAGTCTTCTCTCCACCCTCTGCCTGGAATCCACTGGGCTAATCTCATCATGCCCTTTATCCCTGTTTGTTAGTCATTGCAAGAAGCCCAGTCTCTCAGGATATCTTTTCTCCTGTTTTCTAATCCTACAAGGCTCTGTACAGCCTGTATTGTGTCCTCTCCCCAGCTCCTGAAATCCTTCCTTGTGTTCTCTAGCACTCAGGGTCTGCCATCATCAAAGTCTCCTATGTCTTCAACCTATTCTCTAATCATCCCTGTCACCTTCTCACTCTAAGGGAAACCTGGCTCTGTCTCACGGACACTGCTTCCCCGGGACCCCACTAAAAGGCCGCTGCTCTCTCCTCACTGCAGGCCTGGAGGGGAGGCCCGTGTTCTTGCTTTTGCAGCTCTTCAATGTTGTCTCCTGTCTCCAAACCCTCAGCTTTGAGCTTCATGTAGATTATATCACCTCCTACCCAATCAAGATGTCACTATGCTGACAGCTCCTCAGCTCTGTGTTACTGCGACTCGTTTCTTCAGGATTTAGCTCCTAGCTCACTGTCACTGTCTTCAGTACTATTCCTGACTAAATTGTTGGCAATTTCAATTCACATGTAGATTATCCTTTAACATCCCAATTTCTCAGTTCCTCGAATTCCTCTCCTTCAATAATCTTGTCTTCCACCTACATCGCCTTCTCACTCCCATGTTCATAACCAGGACTGGCTACATAATTTGTGGGGCCCATAGAAAAAATGAAAATTTAACACCCCTCTTAAAAAATTATTAGGAATTTTGAGATGGTGACAGCAGAACAGTAAACCAAGTGCAGGGCCCTCTGAGTGTAGGGCCTTTGGTGGCTGCATAAGGTTGCATGCCACGAAGCCAGCCCCACTCATAACTTTGACCTTGTAATTGCCAATATGGGCAACCCTCTCGTAATGTGAATTTCATGCGTCCCACTCTCTTTCTCCTGCTTCCCGTCTTTCCAGATCCCTTCCCCAACATTCCCTTGACCCCATAGACTTTCCAATCCATTGATCCTACCACTTTTCGGCGTTCCCACTCACATGTCTTCTCTCCCTTCTTTACCCAGTTTAGATTGCTTGTCAGCCATTACAATCACCCCCTTCAACTCCTTTATCATCTTTCACTTTATTTCCTTAATTAGCAGAATCCTGATTAAGCCCAAATCTCTACAGCTGTATGTGGCTGGGAGACAGCCATGTTCACTGTTCTCTCTTTAAATGACCACAAACCTCAAGTAGGCTCTTAATGCCTCCAGGTGATCATTGATTTTCCTATTCTCCTCAACAATGATTCTACACCATTTCCTTTCTTCTTAAACCTTCAACGTCTCATTCTTAACTGATGATTTCACCAAAAAGATTAAAACAATCAGAAGAGAATCTCCAGATTCCCATCACCATAATAGCATAATAGCATCTACACGCATAGACTCTGCCTTTATTACCGTGGTTGAACTTTGCATGCTGCTCTGCAAAGCTAATCCCTCTTATTTCCACTGGTTGCCATCTGCTTTCATCTATTCAAGGACATAATTCTAGCAATTTTTCCTCTCTCTCTGATGTCATTATTATTCTTTACAAAACAGCCAGGGTGCTCCTTTTAAAAACTATGAGTCAGATCATGTCACTCCTCTGCATAAATATCTGGTCTAGTCAATTTTGAAAAAGAAAAAAGTGTGTGTGTGTGTGTGTGTGTGTGTGTGTGTGTGCACTCAGTGCGGTGCTTCTGTCTTAACAAGTCTTATGTCTTCTTTTAAAGCTATAATTAAGGTAGTGAGAGTGAAGTAAGTCAGAAAGAGAAAAACAAGTACTGTATGCTAATGCATGTATATGGAATCTAGAAAAAAACAGTACTGATGAACCTAGTGGCAGGGCAGGAATAAAGATGCAGACATAGAGAATGGACTTGAGGACGTGGGGAGCGGGGAAGGGAAGTTGGGGCGAAGTGAGAGTAGCATTGACATATATACACTACCAAATGCAAAATAGATAGCCAGGGGACCTTCAAGATGGCGGAGGAGTAAGATGTGGATATCACCTTCCTCCCCACAAATATAACAAAAATACATCTACATGTGGAACAGCTCCTACAGAACACCTACTGAACGCTGGCAGAAGACCTCCGACTTCCCAAAAGGCAAGAAAATCCCCACATACTTGGGTAGGGCAAAAGAAAAAAGAAAAAACAGAGATAAAGGAATAAGGATGGGAGGGAGCTGTGAAGTAGGAAAAGTTTCCACATAATAGGAAGCCCCTTCACTGGTGGAGACAGCGGATGGGCGGCGGGGGGAAGCTTCAGAGCCACGGAGGAGAGCAAAGCAACAGGGGTGCAGAGGGCAAAGCGGAGAGCTTCCCGCACAGAGGATCAGAGCCAACCAGCACTCACCAGCCTGAGAGGCTTTTCTGCTCACCTGCTGGGGTGGGCGGGGGCTGGGAGCTGAGGCTCAGGCTTCAGAGGTGAGATCCCAGGGAGAGGACTGGGGTTGGCTGCATGAACACAGCCTGAAGGGTGCTAGTGTGCCACAGCTAGCCAGGAGAGAGTCTGGGAAAAAGTCTGGACCTGCCTAAGAGCCAAGAGACCATTGTTTCGGGGTGCACGAGGAGAGGGGATGCAGAGCACCACCTAAACGAGCTCCAGAGACGGGTGTGAGCTGAAGCTATCAGCTCGGACCCCAGAGACAGGAATGAAATGCTAAGGCTGCTGCTGCAGCCACCAAGAAGCCTGTGTGCAAGCACAGGTCACTATCCACACCCCCCCCGGGAGCCTGTGCAACAAACCACTGCCAGAGTTCTGTGATCCAGGGACTGGTTCCCCGGGAGAACACATGGTGTGCCTCAGGCTGTTGCAATGTCACACCAGCCTCTGCCACCGCGGGCTCGCCCCACATTCCAATTATAACTACCGTACCCCTCCCTCCCCCCAGCCTGAGTGAGCAAGAGCCCCCTAATCAGACCTGCTTTAACCCTGTACTCTCTGGGTGGGAACAGATGCCTGAGGGTAACCTACATGCGGAGGTGGGGCAAAAACCAAAGCTGAACCCCAGGAGCTGTGAGAACAAAGAAGAGAAAGGGAAATTTTTCCATGTAGCCTCTGGAGCAGCGGATTAAATCCCCACAATCAATTTGATGTACCTTGCATCTGTGGAATACCTGAATAGACAATGAATCGTCCCAAAATTGAGGCGGTGGACTTTGGAAGAAACTGTGGGGTTTGGGGTTTGCTGTCTGCAACTGATTTGTTTCTGATCTTTATCTTAGTATAGTTTTTAGTGCTTGTTATCGTTGGTGGATTTGTTTATTGGTTTGGTTGCTCTTTTCTTTTTTAAA